TGTGTGCATAAGAGACCTGGTGTGAGTCGGTGGTGAGGAAGGCCCAGCCTGTCGGCCATCCTCCTCCTCACTCCCTCCATCTCCTCGCCATGTTTGAACTTCTCCACCTCCAGCAGCGCCGTGCGGTTGTTCTCCACGCCGTCCACATAACCACGGCAACGGTCAAAGAAACGCATCAACTCATCGTCCACCTCGTGGCTGTACTCCGGCTCGGCATCTGCCCAAACACAAAGGTCAGAGGTCAGGCCCAAGGACTCACCTTATCGAGAAGGCCTCTGGGGTGGCGAGACTCACCGTGGCGTCCCCAGTGGCGCTGCAGCCCCTCCTGAAACGCCTCCACGCTGCTCACGCAGCGATGCTTCGAGCTGGTCAGGAAGCGCACCCTCCTCTTCCTCACATTCTCCTCAGACAGCAGAGATGGAAACACAGACGCCAGGCGGCTCGCCAGCTGACGCAGGTCATCCCGGCCCTTCATCACCAGCTGACCTGAGGAGCATCATCATCATCATTATCACGTCGGTCATACGTCTGAGGTCACTGGTCCCCCTCACGCATTACGTTGTTAACAGTACACGATTAGGATGATGTATTCAAGTATTTATTTAGGCATTTAAGTATCCGAGTACTCATTCATGTTAATATATCCATGTATACATGTTCTGTGCTGAGGGTCGCGGGCTCACCGTCCATGTCCTCGGTGTACCACGCCTCCCAGCGGTTCCGGATCTCCTGCAGCCAGCTCTCAGATCCGCCGGAGGCCCTGGAAGCTTCGGTCCGGACCAGTTCGCTCAGTTTCCGGATCCTGCGGATGTTCTTGAGGGTCGGGTAGCGGCTGCCGTGTCGGATGACGGCGGTGAGGTGGACCGGGGAGCAGTGCTCGGCCGGGGGCGGTCTCAGGACCGAAGGGTCCGCGGACAGAGGGTCCCGCAGCAGGTGCGGCTTCACCTCCTCGTACCGGGTCTTGGTGCCGAAGTACCCGGCGATGTGCGGGATGTCCGGGACCGACAGGGAGGCGAAGGACAGGCGGGGCACGAGCAGACCCAGACTGGCCAGCAGCACACCTCCAGCGGGGTGAAACACGGAGAACATGTCGGCGGGGACCGGAGAACTGAGCCGGGGAGACAGACGGGGTCCACCTGCTTCCGCCTTTCTTGCTTTGTTGATGTTCCGGGTTTGTGTGACCTTTAACCTCCTGTATTTCCGGTGTGCGGGCCGACCAAAAAGCATCCGCGAGGTTTAAAATTCAACATTTTTCGTTAAACTTCAACTTCAATGAAAAGTTGAGTTATGTAAAAAAAAAAAAAACTGCCGGAAGTAATTTAGTGATAAAAAAAAAGAAGAAGAAGAAAAAGGTTTTACCTTCTGAAGCTTCAAATTCAATACATCAATATAAAGAGGCACAATACAGCTTCCGCTTAACGGAAGCCAAAATAAAAGCCCTAACCGGTTTGTCTCTTTCAAAGTAAAAGCTTCAATAACAACAGGAAATGCATTTTACTCAAAATCGACATGAACTTTTTTTTTAAACTAATAAAATAATAATAAAACAATTTAAAGAATCAGAATTTGTAGCTGATGAAGTTATGGAAGTAGTTATTTTTCTGTATGGACACACTGATGTCATGTCTCCTTGTTCCTAAATCAGGGGTCATTTTAAATGGCGGGCCACAGACAGCCCGCTTTGACCTTAAGTGGGCCGGACCAGTAAAACTTCCTGTCACTGTAAATTAGTTAAATATTTAACTGTTTTTCTACATGATGAAGAAAAAGCTGCTGTGACAGAGAAGGAAATGTGACAGCACGACAGCCGGCGTCCTGCAGGTTTTAGATCTCACCCTGGGTCAGCACACCTGAGCCTTCAAACATCACCACACGCGTCGTCAACAAAGCCTCGATTCCCGGATTACTCGAAACGCTTCGAAGCCTCGGCACAGAAGGACATCGCTAATAACTGTGTGGTGGGCCGTACGTGGCCCGCGGGCCGTACATTTGACCGCTGGTTTAGAGCCTTTATTGGACTGCTCAGGTTCCCCTAAAGATCATCAACATCAGAACTTGTGTTTGTTGTGAGTATTCAGGCCATCACAGTTGAACCCTTCCAGCATTACCAGTAATCCCAGTCAGACTGGTCAGCAGGTATACTGGGAGTGTTCTGAGTGCACGGCGGCACAGACTGGACTCATGCTGTGGAGAAAGAAGCAGCAGGTTCAGCTTCCTGCTGAATCCTGCAGCTCTGCACACCACCTGGTCTGACACAAACTCCACCTGGATGAACAGGAAGCAGGAAGTTTAATGTTCCTGCTGTTTGAACAGTATGATGGGATGTCTATCTCAGATGGCCTCGCCCCTCCCTGAGCCTGGTTCTGCTGGAGATTCTTCCTGTTAAAAGGGAGTTTTTCCTTCCCACTGTCACCAAAGTGCTGCTCACAGGGGGTCATATGATTGTTGGGTTTTTCTCTGTATCTATTATTGTAGCGTCTACTGTACAATACAAAGCGCCTTGAGGGAACTATTGTTGTGATTTGGCGCTGTGTAAATAAAACTAAACTGAACCTGTAAGTTCAGAGTTTTAGCACTTACTGCAGCCACTGTGATGGCTTTCACTGGGTTATGTTGTTTTTTACATTTAAACAAAGGTGTTGAGATCTAAGCTGAAGCTAGCAGTTAGAGCCACCTGTGTCAACATGCCAGTCAAAGTGGCCACGCCCCTAATAATGACTGACTTATAACTACAGCTGTTATGAAGCAGCACGCATACAACAGACACTAAAGAAATAAACGGTTTTCAAAGTGTTTTATTGGAGCCCATCAGAATCCTTTATATGGACGAGGAGCTAAAGTTTCAGAGAAAAGCCTCTTTAGTAATGAAGGTTGTCGACGGTGTTTGAAGGAGATCAGAAGTATTGTGTGGGGTCGATCATCCTGTCGCACATCTGGACGTGGACGTGTGAGGTGATTCCCGGATAAACGCTCTGCATGGGCAGCATGGTGCCGATCCTCTGCCCCTTCTTCACCGTTCCTGAGGTTCGGTCCGGCCTCACGTAGAACAGCTTGAAACAAAGACCTGCAGGACACAAACGCAACGCCTCGATCAGCGAATCAGAACCAGGATCAGTAACTCTGTCAGTGCTGCTGCGCGTGATGACCCACCCTCTCCTGACAGGTTGATGCCCTCGTTGATGGCTGCCTTATTGGGGTCGGTGTAGACGGTCAGTCTCCCGTTAAGAGTCACGTCAAACGGAGCGTAGACAGCGGCGCCGTCCCTGCACTTGATGTCCAGCCCCTGGTGGAGTCTGGTCCCCCTGTAAGCAGCAGACATCCAGCTGTGAGCAGCTGTGCCACATCGTCCACACCAGCCTTACAACACAAACGTGATCTCTGAGTACCGTCCGGCTCCGTACTGTCCCTGTCCCCATCTGTCCGACGTCCTCCGGCTGTTGCTCGGGTTACTGCTGCACAGCTGACCGAACTTAACGCCGTCACACACCCACAAAACAGCTGGACACACACAGATGTAGACTTTTATGGACACAGCCTTGGGTTTTATTACAAACCTTGTCAATAAATGAAGTTACAAAGTGGATTTGGTCTTCTAGAAACAACTTCATATTTAAAAATTATCTTTGAATTGTTAAACGTCCTGAGAGAATAACAGCGTGACTCGGGTGATCAGCTGATTGTAAACACTGTGATAACACCTGATCAAAGGTAAACAACATCACCTGGTTACAACATCGGTTCATCTGTTCTTTCTCTAAAAGGTGAACATTTTGTTCTGTTTTTAAATAAGTGTATTTAAAAACATGCAAATCAAGCTTTTACCCCAAAATTGACATTGTTACACTGCAGGTGTAACAATGTCACAAAGTCACAAAGGTCAGTTTACATTTAAATTTCGTCCTTCTGTGTCATCCACAGTGAACTTTCACAGGCTACATGCTGTTTTCAGAAACAAAACGAGTTCAAAGAAGCTGTGACGGTTGAATCTCACCCAGTAACACGAGGAGGCGTCTCATCTTCAGCTGCGACCGTCAGGCTGAGCGTCTGCTCGTCGTCCCGCAGATTTTAAAGGCTGAAAACAAACAAACACTTTCAGGAGTCTTTGTTATTTCACCACAGCGGAAAACCGGCAATGATGAAACTCAGTGTTTGCATTTGTGTTGCATCAGTCGCTGTGCAGACCTGATGATCCGGTTCTCTGCAGCCAGCAGCTCCGGCTCACATCACTGTTGTAATAATACTTAATATTCAGTCTGCTTGTGTCTCATGAATCACACAGATTCAGGATTTCATCACGACATCAAGCTGACGCTCCTCAGTGTGAAAACTTCAATAACATAAAATGACGATCATGTAAAACATGAATAACACGACGACGTGACGGATTATAACGTTTGTGCTGTCAGTGAGTCTGTGACTGTTTTCACTTGTTTTCTCACTTTTGTCTTCAGCCGTTGTTCCGAGAAAACAAGTTCATCAGCTGAATGTGACAAACTGAGCAGGACCACGAAACATGAAACCCTGGAAACGTGTGACCTTTGACCCCTCAGACAGCAGCTGTCCAAACACAGAGTGAAAATCATCCGAGTGTCAGTTCTGATGGGTTGAAGGCTCGGCCGCAGTGACCATCGCGCATGCGGGGTCCTCGAGTCCACAGGTCAAAGGTTAATCTACAACATGTGACCCTGAGAGGTTTGAGTTGGCATCTGTGGTTCCCTGATGTGACCTCGTCTCCACAGCACAGACTGAGTGAACGCACCGAGGTCAGAGGTCAGGACTACAGCAGAGTCTGTGCTGAAGCTGTTTCTGTTACAGTGAAGAAAACTCATCTCAAGTCT